CCAGTCTGGGCGACAGAGTGAGACTCCAACTCAAAAAAAAAAAGAGTGTTCAATCATATATCTGCACTGAGGGTTGAAGAATTACATCTTCAGATTTAGGGATTGAGAGAGGGAGAGAAGAAGAAAGAATATGTGTATGTGTTACCAGGCAGATCATTCTTACTCTGAATGCTTAGAAGCAGCAGAGAAAAGGGTTTGGTACAATATTTATTACAGCCTGAATGAGTCATTCTGGACATTAAAAAAAAAAAAGAAGGAGTGGTGGATCACAGTTACAAATACGTTTCAGTGACTCACTGTGGTGCTTTTGCAATTTGCCCTTTTAGACTTACCTTTTCTGCCCTTTCCTTCTTAGGAAGAAAATCAGTTAGGAAGATGATTCAGTCCTGCTGGGTGGGTATAGCATTGACTTCTATACAGAATACTGAAGTGTATACACATATTTAACATTCAGTTAGGGTTTGGCCACACAACTATTTATGTCTTGCCACACAATTTTCCAAGTCTTTCTAATTTTCAAGATTAGCCAGGCAGTGTGGTGTGTGCCTGTAGTCCCAGCTACTTGATTTGTTTTTTGTTTTTGTTTTGTTTTGCTTTTTGAGTTGGAGTCTCACTCTGTTGCCCAGACTGGAGTGCAATGGCTGCTCCCGGCTACCGCAGCCTCGACCTGCTGGGCTCCAATGATCCTTACGCCTCAGCCTTCCAAGTAGCTGGAACTACAGGCGCACGCTACCTCACCCAGCAAATTTTTTTTCTTTATTGTAGAGATGAGGTCTCGCCAAGTTACCCAGGTGGGTCTCGAACTCAGGCAATCCACTCACCTCAGCCTCCCAAAGCGCTGGGATTAGAGGCTGAGCCACCGAGCCCGGCCAGCCGCAGCTACTTGAGAGGCGGAGGCGGGAGCAGTCACTTGAGTCTAGAAGTTCAAGACCAGCCTTGACGCTATAGTGAGATACCACATTAAAAAATAATAAAAATTAATTTAAAATTATTTAATAATTTAAATTTATTTTATAATTTAAATACTATTTAAAATATTGAAATTAATTAAAGAGTATCAATGCAGTATAAATTGTATTCTCTAATGCCTGGAAAGTAAGATGCCATGTTTTCCAATACATCATCCAGTGCAACTCGAAAAACAATTCAGTGGATTAAAGTTGTGGCAGTCACTAATCATCAGAGCGATGTAAATCAAAACCACACTGAGATACCACTTAGCTCCAGTAAGAATGGCTATCATAGCTGGGCTCGGTGGCTCAACCTGTAATCCCGTACTTTGGGAGGCTGATGTGAGTGGATTGCCTCAGCCCGCAGGTTCAAGACCCGCCAGGGCAACTTGGAGAGACCTCATCTCTGCAGTATATCAAAAATTAGCCAGGCGTGGTAGCGCACACCTGTAGTTCCAGCTACTTGGAAGGTTGAGGCGGAAGGATCACCGGAGCCCAGCAGGTCGAGGCTGCGGTGGCCAGGAGCGGCCACTGCACTCCAGTCTAGGTGACAGAGTGAGACTCCAACTCAAAAAAAAAAAAAATGGCTATCATTAATGTATCAGAAAAATAACAGTGCTGGCAAGGGTACAGAGAAAAGGAAATGCTTCTACACTGTTGGTGGGAGTACAAACTAGTTCAACCTCTATGGAAAATAGTGTGGCAATTTTTAAAAGATCCAGAAATTGACCTTCCATATGACCCAACAGTCTTCTTCCTGGGAGTATACCTGGAGGGACTCAAATCATTCTACAAAAAAGATACTTGCCCATGCATGTTTATTATAGTCCTATTCACAATAGCAAAAACATGGAACCAACCCTGTTGCCCGTTGAAAGTGAACTGGATAAAGAAAATGTGGTGCATGTACATGATGGAGTATTATGTAGCCATAAAAAAGGACAAAATGACCAGGCTCGGTGGCTCAGCCTGTAATCCCAGCACTTTGGGAGGCCAAGGCGAGTGGATTGCCTGAGCCCGTGGGTTCCAGACCCTCCCGGGCAACTTGGCGAGACCTCATCTCTACAATAAATCAAAAATTAGCCAGGCGTGGTAGCACGCACCTATAATTCCAGCTATTTGGAAGGCTGAGGCGGAAGGATCGCCGGAGCCCAGCAGGTCAAGGCTGCAGTGGCTGGGAGCATGCCACTGCACTCCAGTCTGGGCGATAGAGTGAGACTCCAACTCAAAAAAAAAAAGGACAAAATTATGAACGTCACAGCAAATTGGATGGAATTAGAATCTGTCATATTCAGTGATCCATCACAGAAACAAAGAACTAAATACCACTTGTTCTCACTCATAAGTGGGTCCTGAACCTTCATCACAATACTGCAAGAGAGGGATTAGCAGCAGCAGGGCACTGCAGAGGGAGGAAGAGGAGGGCACATAATATCACTAAGGGTACCTGCCCCTAAACCAGGGAGGTGAAGACCAGTTAGAAGCCTAAACGTCACCTGCACATAGCCTACTTATGTACCTAATCCTGACTTGTACCCCATATCTTTAAAATAAAAGAAGAAATAAATAAAGTTGTGGCAGATATTTAATTAAACTATACAACAATTATTTTGAATAAAACCTTAAATATTTACCCTGTTTCATCACTTTTTGTTTTGAGGATCAGGAATAATCAAGTACCTATAGACAGGTGCCTATGACTCTGAAACAAGGACATAATAAAGCCTGAAAGAGTGAATGAGTGTTAAATGCTTTATCTTAGAACGTGGTCCATGTGCATGTGTTCTATAATTGTAATTCTGTGTGAGTCTAACTTCATGATTTACATGGAACCTTCGAAGGTTTAATCATTATCAGTTGCCTATTACACATCGCTTCCTATGAGTAAAAGATCTTTTCGGTGCCCAGTACTGTTAACTTTTTAGTTCTTTTCCACTTCAGGGTTATCCTTAGGATTTTCATCTTTGCTGTTGCTGCTATTCTTTAGGCATATTCAAAACATGAGTGAAATCAAGACTGATGTTGGACGAGCTCGAGCATGGATAAGATTATCTCTAGAAAAGAAGCTCTTGTCCCAGCATCTCAAGCAGCTGCTCTCCAACCAACCTCTCACCAAGTAAGATATTGCCTTTTGATACATGTTTGTTTCTGTTATCTGTGCACTTGAAAAGCAAGTTGCATGCGCTGCCATACTGGCTTCTTCAACATGAGGTGCTGATTCCTGTGCACATTCGTTATTCTTGCCTAACAGGCGTGTACTTTGAAACCTCACTCTTACCGTGATACTTGGTCTTTTCTGGGAGGGCACATCAAATTTTACAAAGTCCAGACTGCCCTGCTGTAATCAGGATCAAAGGTAGCTAGTTCATACAAGCTGACAGTAACATTCAAAAGATAGGTTAAGCTTATATAAACATTATATTGGACCAGGTGCGATGGTTCAAACCTGTAATCCCAGCACTTTGGGAGGTCAAGGTGAGAGGATTGTCCAAGGTCAGTAATTCAAGACCAGCCTGGGCAACTTGGTGAGACCTCGTCTCTACAATAAATCAAAAAATAAGCTGGGCATGGTAGCACGTGCCTGTGGTTCTAGCTATTTGGAAGGCTGAGGCGGAAGGATCGCCTGAGCCCAGCAGGTCGAGGCTACGGTGGCTGTGAGCATGCCACTGCACTCCAGCCTCGGTGACAGAGTGAGACTCCAACTCAAAACAAAACAAAACATTATATTGTATACATCACAACAGTCTGGGCATGGTGACTCAGCCTATAATCCCAGCACTCTGGGAGGCTGAAGCAGGAAGATTGCTTAAGACTAGAAGTTTGACACTAGCCTAGGCAACATAGGAAGACCTCATCTATACACAAATAAAAAATTAACCAGGTGTGGTGGAGTGCACCTATAGTCCTAGCTACATGGAAGCCTGAGGCAGAAGGATCACCTGAGCCCAGGAGGTCAAGCCTGCAGTGAGTCGTGATCATGCCTATGCGCTTTAGCCTGAGAGACAGAGTGAGACTCCAACTCAAAAAAAAAAAGGGAAGTTACAACAAAACCTGGAGTAGCAAAGAAGAAAAAAGTACTCTGGTGACAGGGCCTACAGTAGAGGGCTTCTTCTGAGAGTCTTGCATTCAGTAGTTTGGAACAAGGAAATCAATCAAATGTGTCAGTTAATTGTTAACTGTTTTGATAGCTTCCCTTTACTCTACCAGAAACCCTCTTGGATAAAATATGTTGCCTTCACACATACATTAGTGCTAATTGGAAGGCTAAGGACTTTGAGTTTACAAGAGCATGGTACGCAGAGAATTCAACAAAGAACTCAAATATAACAGTGTATTAGAATCCTGTCATGGAAACCCAGTGCCTTGTGTAGTTTTGTTTTTGTACATATCATACTTGGATTACATACACCCTGGCGCATTTTAGGTTGACTCTTAGTGTCCAGAGAACAAGTTGTTGTGTTTTTTTTTGAGTTGGAGTCTCACTCTGTCACCCCGGCTGGAGTGCAGTGGCATACTTCCCGGCACTGCAGCCTCGACCTGCTGGGCTCCGGCGATCCTTCCACCTCACCCTTCCAAGTAGCCGGAACTAGAGGCGTGCACAACCACGCCCGGCTTTTTTTTATTTTTATTTTTTGGGTTGGAGTCTCACTCTGTTGCCCAGACTGGAGTGCAGTGGCACGCTCCCGGC